AGCGGTTCAACAAGGGCCACTCCTCCGGGCAGACGGGAATTCAGCAGAATGCACTTTTAACATTGAGCTTAGCAAGATACAGCGGGGCGAGCAATTGTCTAATCATGTTTGCAGCATTGTCATCTTGACATTGTGGAGAGACACGGTCTGCTGGAATGTACTCGTTGACACTTCGACCCTCCAGGCTTTACAAAGGGTGTGTCGTGTGTAACTTCCCGTTCGTCTAGGAACCGCATCTACGCCGGAACAGCACAGAGGCGAGAAAGGGGGTGAAGAACACGGGCCAGCTGTTTCAAGCCTGCTGCAAGAAACGGATCGGCCAGCTGTTTCAAGCCTGCTGCAAGAAACGGATCGTTGCGCAGAAATATCATCTGGGTTAGCATGTGACCGTGTTAAATTCAATAGATCCCAGTTAGTTGAGTGGTTGCCGATGAAACCTACCACAACCCCACAATTACGACCATGTGCAACATACCTCCGGAGCATAGGATCAGGATGTGAGTCCAGTAATTTTGAGAAGTGAGAAACTGAGTGCTTACACAGTTACTGATGAGGCCTTACACTTTGCCCTGGGATGCTCCTGTCGGCACTGGAGGTAGCACTGCCTGAGCTGACGCGTGCAAGCGCCGTACTCGTAGTAGCGGCATACGGTTGCGGTACGTGATGCGGATCTGTACTGGTGAGTAGGACGAAATGCGCACGGAAATGCTGGCAAGTGCACTGAGCTGCACTGCTGGCAGGCGGGTCGTGCTGTTCCAGTACACCGCGAGGCGCAGTTGCCACAAGTTGATATTGATAACCTGGCTTTGGAGATTTATTTTATTTTCCATTGCTATCAGGTTCGGCTTAATTCCCTCTGTGCTGCGCTGATGAGTCCACAAAGGACGAAACAGTTGTCCGCAGATTGAGTATTGATAACGTCCAGTTTCTAGGTGGCAAAAGCTGGCGATTGGCCGCGACGATCGTGGCCAAATACGTCCACAGGCACTCGTGAAACGCGGTGAGGAACAGTGGAACACAGACCATTCATGAACACTGTCCAGGTCTCAACTCAAGTGCTACCGTCATGCAGCCTACGAAGCGCAGTTCTGGGTTCGGATTCAAATAAATGCTAGTGCGCCAGAAGAGCAACATATGAGGGGCTACGGAGTTGGAACGTCGCCGGAGCTGGACTGACTGCAACTGTATCGGGCAGCAGGAAATCGAAGTCCACGAACTCGCCTCTCTGGACGCGATCGAGAAGGGCCCGTATAGGACAGTCAGGTTCACCTGCTGTTGGTGCTGCATGCGCATATGGCGGTCGTCACTGCACCGGGCTCCCAGTAGGGTCCGGCCTGCTGGCGGCGAGCGGCGATACGGATCCAAGTAGAGCGAGGAGAAGCTGGGTGGCGTTGGTGACGGCAGTGGACAACTCCCGTTGTTACAGTGCGTATCGGTTATAGTGTGGTCGTATACAAGAATATACTGCTTACAAGAATGAACACTCATTTTTTCATAATCATAACACATATTTTATGTGTATGTTTATTCTTACAAGCAGTATTATCGCATAGTAGAATATATCGGCCCTAAGAATGGATTTTGTGTAGCAAAATATGCCAGATTAGTGCAAAGTGTATCGCCTGTAGTAATAACATCTGTGCTCTGTGCATACTCAATACAATAATATTCAACACAAAAGAGAGTTATGTCCAAGGCCGCATTGGAGAATCACTTTTTCTGTCCAGTCGGACTCTTTCCTCCGACTTCTCTCGCATCCGCTGCTCCGCAGTCGCCTAGTACGACCGCGAGTCTGATTGATCTGTGTGTATCATGTGTACGTGTCCACATGCCAAACGTGCGCGCATATGATATGTCACACGTGATTTATCGCGTGTAAGAAATATCGGCAATAAGAATCAAATGTCGTTTTTCAAACACCCACGCTATAACCGATACCTACTGTACTTCCAACAGAAAATCAAAGTCCACGAACTCGCCTCTCTGGATACGAATTACGATCGTCAGGCTCGCGCCTGCTGTTGCAGTGGTGGTGCTGCGTGGCGGCCGTCGCTGCGTTCGCAGTAGGCGGGCGGCGGAGCCAGGTAGAGCGAGGCGATCCGGAGAGGCTGGACGGCGGTTGGTGACGACGACATTGTTTCAAGGCACAAACAAGGGTCGCTGAGATCGCGTGGAGGTACTTCATTTCAAGAAACCTGATGATGGCGCAAGCTAAAAAACCACAGTCGACGTTCCACTGTAGACGACGACATTGTTTCAGGCACCAACAGGCACCAACAGGCGTCAATGAAGTCTGAATTGAAACGCAGAGATACGAGAATGCAAGCTTGAAGGAAATTGTTTCGGGAACACCTGTTCCACAAGTTGCATGCTCGAAAGTCCAAACAGCAATGACATGAAAGAGACATTGTACAGGATATTGAAGGGCGCGTGCCCACGTGACTCGCGCATGCGTGCAGGTTGGGCCAGCTCGCTGGGCTGGCTGCTAACTCGCGTTAGCATGCTAACGCTCATTTAGCACGTGCTACGAGGTCGTACCTTTGATACAACATCCAGTGCTGGGACCTCCACAGCAAGCCATTTCCACAGCGCTGCACACCAAATCCAGGATGCCCTCAGAAACCGGCAAAGACTGCCACTCACGTTTCACTACTGCCTAGCACTGAATCCTACCTGACTTCTTGACACGACTCAAACTTGCCAAAGTCACTAAATCAACGTCAACTACAATAATCAAGCCACATATCTGCAACGTCACGAGGGTGCTGGCAAAAGTCCTGCTGCACGGCGGCGGGCTTCGCCCGCCGCCGTGCAGCCCAATACGTGGTTTTTTAACGTGATTTTTTGGACTTTTTTGGACTTGGGGCAAAATTCTGCACACTTTCGCGTGTTTCCATAATACGACAAGTTGCGCACGGTCTGCTCACATTCAAATACAGTGCTGCCAACAAATGACAGCATGCAACAAAAAAATCTTTCCTTGCAAGGGCACATTTTCGGCCATAACTCTTGAACGGCTGGTCAGATAGGGACACAGTTTTCAGAGAATTTGCAGCTATTCATGCTCTTTCAACTGACGTAGCACTCAATATGAATTTACAAATTCGATTTTTCAGCGAATTTTTGGGTGATGTGCCCCCTTAACCTCTCCACTGATGTGGGTCACAGCGTAGTACATATACATGCTTGATGAGGACAGCATAGCACAAGGCTATCAAAGCAAGGCTTACCAGTAATCAGGCGCGTAGCACCGCCGCTGGCGGTGGTCCGGCCAGGGGGGGGGGGGGGGGTCCGGGGGGATGTGCCCCGTATTTTTTTTGAAATTAGGGTGCAAAATCTTGCATTCGGGGCTTTTTGGCATTGTTTTACTACGGTGGTCGTGGTCGGGCGAAAAAGTGGTCCGGGCAAAGCCGGACTGGCCGGAGCGGCTGCTACGCCCCTGGTAATACACATGCACATGTACACCACTGTAGTCAATGAAATCCGATTGCGCGAATTAAGTTTGCGCCCTGCACCAGTTCACATTCTAGTGCTCGTATGTCTGGGGCTGCAAAGCACCCAGCGTGGCGTTCACTCGCCTGATCGGATTTCAGTGACCAGTGTAGCGGGCCGCAGTCTCTCGGAGGCAAGAACGCACAAGGGTCTCAGTGAACACACTGTAATTGGCAATTGAAATGTACTGGCAACGAAATTAACTGATTGGCAACTAAATTAACTAACTGGCTATAAAAGAATCGTGAGCAGCAGCTTTGATACAAAGGCAGACTCCGTACGCTAATGTACGGGGATACAGTACGGGGATATGCTATACTCTAAACACTAAACGCTATACGCTTTGAAGTCACCAGCGTGCCAACGCTACACCTCCCCTCACAAATACAATCACGTCCTCGTGATTCGAATACTACATGTAGGTGATAGCTGGACATCAACAACTGGCTGCTATTTAGAAGAAAAAAACTGGCGACATGCATGGTCGCGTCGGAATAAACTCGACGATAAGAGATAGGCAGAATGGATGACTTGCATAATATAATACAGGTATGGAGTCGTGAACATTATACAGTGGTCCCTCTACAATCCGGCACCATTTGTGCCACTGAAGATCTGCTGGATTAGGGAGGGTGCTGGATTAACAAATCTGATTTACTGCTGCAATGTGCATGAAGAGGACTTTTTGGCTACTGAAAATTGTGCTGGTTTATCGAGGGTGCTGGATTATAAAGTGCTGGATTAGAGAGGGACGACTGTAGTAGATCGCGAATTACTGGGAGAGCGTCAACCGGAGTATGGCAAATAATATCGGAAATGATAACGTTTGGAATAGACAGAAGAATGAACTGACAAACAAATCATAAAGTAGAAGCACACCAGGTTCACACGATCTCACGGGGTCAAAAGGGGAAAGAACTGTCCTCCAAATAGGACCTGAAAAACCACAGCACTCTTGCTGCACAACGCTGGCACAACCCGCCAGGAACATCGCAGTGCAAAAACCGAACTGAATACACTATAACTATAAGGGGCGTTGTCACTAGTATGTGTGTGACAACGCCCCTTATAGTTATAGTGTATTCAGTTTGGTTTTTGCTATTTTGTCAGTGCTCTGACCGCCAAAGTGCTGGTTGGAGTTTGCAGACCATAAAAGAAGGGTTTCTGGTATGTTTCATGCTTTTGGTATAGTATACATAATTGGATATAGAAGAGGAGCAGGATTTGGGGACTGATTGTCCACCAAAAGCGCCGTATGGTTCTGCCAATTTCACTGCTTTTCGAGAAAAATCTGCCTATTTTCGAGCATTATCTGCCAAGGCATAATCCCAGCTAATTTACCACCTCCCATTTTCTCTCCCTCTCGTTCTGTTTCCGTACTCATTCACACCCAGGCTTGTTTTAAAAATCTGCATTCAGAATTGCGATGACCAAAATCTGACAAACCTGGGAAAGACTGTTACACACGTGTGCTTGTATTGGTAATTCCATGTTCCTTCTAACATTAGGAGATTGACGATGACAGCCATACAGATACTTTGCTTCTAGAACCGACTAACAAGTACATTCTTGACAAAGTGCTCGAGGAACATACACATGAAGCAGATGTGAAGGAGCTGGGCAATTTCATCATTGATGAATGCATAGCATCAGAGTCATCTTCACCTGGAGACTGCGCTGATTCATCATCCCTCCCTGAGCAAACGGTAAACACACCGGGCAACCCTGAGCAAGATGTGGAGACCATATCCAATGAGACGTCCCAGCATGGCCGAGTGGATCTACCGGCATTCGGAAGTAGCTTATTCCAGGTACGTCCAATTGAGTGTACAGGCTGTGTGTTACTGTGTAGTACAGTCATATATGTATACTGTACTACGCAGAGTGTTAGCAAGTTAGTTGTCGCCGAGTATGTCTTCTGTGTCAGGTAGTACTTGAAGTACAACATCAATTTAGGGATAAAGCTGTGTTGGAAGTGGATTCCACTGGTCAGCAGCAGGAAAGGTTTACATGCCACATGAAGTTACTTACAGGCAAGGACTCATTATTATGGTAAAGACAAGTCGATGCTTGTTTGATAGTATACATCCCAATCTTTGTGTGTGTGTGTGTGTGTGTGTGTGTGTGTGTGTGTGTGTGTGTGCGTGCACGTGTGTGTGTGTGTGTGTGTGTGTGCGTGTGTGTATGTGTGCGTGGATGCATGCATATGTTGCATGCGTACGTGTATGCATGCGTGTGTGCGTGCATGCGTGTGACTCTGGATTTTTTCACAGTTGATTGAGGAACTAAAGTACTTCAGGGTGCGTACATATAACTTGTAGCTTTTGGGTCTTGCCAAAGATACAAATAGCAAACAAACATCAGAGAGAAAAGGACCTATAAGTTACTAGTACTAGTTATGACTATCAGTCCACCAAGGTAACGAGATAATATACAGTCAGATAGTGTGACAACAAGGCACAAAACTGACAAGGACATTGAGACATTCGATGACCTGACACCTAGTTCCAATGCATCTATGAAGCGCAAACCAACAACCTTCCAACTTTGAAGGCTCAGGTGTGGAAAGTTCCAATGAGGAATGAGGTGTCAGGTCGACGAATATCTCAATATCCTTGTCAGTTGTGTGCCTTGTTGTCGCACTATTTGACTGCATAATTATTATCTCGTTAGTAGAGTCGTTACCTTGGTGGACTGTTAGTCATAACCAGTAACTTATATGTTCTTTTCTCTTTACATATCACTATTGGCTCAACATTCGAGATTTTATTTTTAACATCGGAGAAATGATGATTTTACTACATTCAAATAAACGGCGAGGATACTGCATGATATGAATAAAGTCTAGAGTAGAACCCGGGTTAAGGGTCACACCGGATTAGGGATCGGAGCCGGGGGGGGGGGGGGGGCACTTGGCACGTACATTGTGCGGGCGATCCTTCGGAGCCCGGGGGGGGGGGGGGCACTTGGCATGTACATTGTGCAGGTGATCCTTAAACCGGGATTTAATTTCCGGCCCAAGGGGGTCCCCGTCGGTTTCCGAGGAAGCCGTAATTTTTTTCGCTCCAAACTATTTTTTCCGGGGTCCATCTACTCACAAAAAGTCGTTTTGCACACCTTTTTGCCCATCCCTGTACAACTGAGTCCAGCTATGTCCGCGCAGAGTTAGGTGGATCCCTAACCCGGGTTCTACTCTACACAAATGTCTATTCAGCTTGTCTTATTGATTGCGATCGCTACATTCAAATCGATTTTTGTGTAGCCAAGGACTTGGTGCAGCTGTGTGTGTTGGAAGTTGCTATTCAAATACCGGTACCCAACTTGGAAATGATAAAAGTAAGGCAATGATAAGGAGACTAAGACTGTACAGCGGCTGGCTGGACGCAGCATGAACCCCTTTTGTCACAATACACATTTGATTGTATGGTACGAGTCAATGAGGGCACCTGCATCAGCCCACATACATGTACATTATAAAACGGAAAGGTTCCAGGCAGTCCAGTAGAGTGCTCGATGCCCAAGCCGGCCAAGGGCAAAGCTACTTCCAACAAGAAGAGGATGATCGCCTTGTGCGTGAAATTCAGAGTTACAATGCAAATCTTCGTCCTCTTTTTCTTGTTACATGCACATTGTATATCTATGCCAGGGCTTCTTCTTCCTTCTCTTCCTCCTTCTTGTCATTGTCCTCCCCTCCCCCTCCTCCTCCTCCTCCTCCTCCCCTTCCGCCTCCTTCTCCTCTTCCTTGCTCCCAACTTCACTTCCAATCCCGATAAGGTTCACCTTAGCCTTGGTTGCACACTTGGACTCGGGGTCACTCCAAGCGTTCACATCTAGCCATTGTTCTTGTTCAGACTGTGTACAGAGATTCGGAAAATCGACTGGTGCAGATGAGAGCGGAAAAGCAGGAGCTAAAGAAACAATTGGTTAGTGAGTGTGAGAGAATGTACACACTTGCTTCTGAATTAACTTGCGCCGATGGGCATAGCTGAGGATGCCGACGAGAAAAAAATTGCCAATAAATTGTGCTTGTGACACAACTGATTCATCTGTAGCATGATGCATCATCTTACCTTGCCATCTCCAGGAGGATACCACCGGTCAGTTGAAGGCGGTCACTGCACGTCAGGAAGGAAGAGATAAAGAAACACGCAGGCAGGTAGGATGCACCCTGGGTCATCACTATACAATTCTATGAGAGAAGCCCATTGGATTTGTCTGACGATAATATTGTGTGTTTGCTTTGAATGTCTACATACAGAATGATGAGCAAGTTCAAGCCGTGGAAGCTGACAAGGTATGCACTGTCACAGTAGTACTTTCAGGACTTCCGTTGAACTTGACTGGTGGACAGTGGTAGTGGATTCAGGTGGACACACAACAAGTCATTCATCACAAAGCACCATCAGAGTTCAGTTCTCTTTTTCATACATTGGCCTTTTTTACTCAGCCTGGACAAGTTATAGAGCAACATAGTCATGGGTCTTCAGCTGACCTCGTGAAAGTGACCGAGGCTTTGGGTATGGATCACTCACAGGGCTGACCGCATGTGCACTTGTGCCGCTTATTGCGCTGTGTACTCCGAGGAACGTATCTGACAGTAATGTAGCTGATGCTGATCTAAGAACGCTGTGACTGTGCTGATTACATGCAGACCTGACCTACACTAGGATTGCTCTACAACTTTTAGTGTATGGTATGGTGACTTGGAAATATCATCCTGTGGGCTACAGTACTCTTTTGACGGTCACCCGACATTGTACCATACCTGAGTCATCCTACCTCTGCAGATACTGAGACAGCACCTCCTTGGCTATATCATACCGTGACATGTACATGTACGGCAGTTGGAGCTACGCGATGCATGTAGTGAGGTTTCACTTTTCCTGGTATTTAATTAAAAAAGCTTTTACCGGTAACAGGTTTCTCATGCTGTGGATGGAACATATCTGAACGTATTGCAGGAAAAGATCGCATCACAATGCCACTACCTTGAGCGGCAGCTGGAGGCAACGAAGGAGGAGCTGCGAACAACACAGGTAAAGATTATCTTGCTATTGGCCTAGCTATGGCCTGTGTCCTCTCACTTACACACTCGGTGTCAGCACAGGTTTAGTGCTGGAATCATAATATTATCATGCCGGGGTCCAATTCAGTTTGAAAACTTGTCACAGACTCATACTATTCCAGTTCTACTTCTTGATTGTTGTTTACAACAGCTGTCAAACTATGGACTTGAAAAGAAGCTCAGTGACCAGGTAAGTGGCAACCTTCCAGCGGTTCAAATTGCCTAATTGCAATCACTTCCCAATCCCATTATAACTTTAGAGACTAAATGTAAGAACTTGGTATGATCTGTCACAAATGATATGCTATTGTTGTAACTGCCTTTCTCTCCCTGCTCCCAGTCCCGTGCCATCTCCACACTTGTACAAAGGGACGACGATAACTACATTTAGAAGACTGTTTATTGACACGACGACGAAACACAACTAGACATGACGAACTCAAGACGAAGACATCATGAACTCAAGACGAAGACTGCTTTTCATACCACAGCAACACGCGCATGCACCAACATGGCGTACACACGACGTACACAAAATAACGTACTACAACATAACTCCCTCCCAAGAGTAGAATCGTCCTCGATTCTAATAATAAAACAGAGTAAAAAGAGGAAAAGATCACACAAATCACTCAATCATACCACACCAGTCACACCCAGAAATAAAATATCTCTGCCTGCACTGTAGATCATTCAAAAAAAACTCTGTCCGCCCACCCAGAACACCAGCCACGATCGCTGTCACACGTGTGGGAACTGATAACCTCAAAACTCTAACTAATGCTTTACTCAACACACCACCTCACGATCACGCTAATATTCTAAAATGTGAGAGCACAAATCATAAGAATAACAAAAAGAACAGAATCCACTGGCTCTGTGGGGGCCTCTAGTTATCCTTATAGAAGAGCAAATCAAAAAACGAACAGAACACACGCGCTGTGCGGGCGCCTCTTTACCCTCGAGGAGAGCAAATAATAAAGAACAAAATGTTGGGAGAACAGAAAATACAAAACTCACATTCTCATCACGTTCACAACAGCACACGTACCCTCTCACCAACGAAACTCCTCACGCCGTCTGCCATGTCGTCCGCCATCTCAAGGAGCGCTGCTCAGCGTCCACATCCTCACACTGCAGCCTTCACCTTCCATCCATCTTTTTTTCTGTTTCAGTTTTTCTTCTGGGCACAGTTTTACGTCGTGTCCGGGACCACCAGTGACGACGACTGCCAAGAGACGGGAGAGACGAATGATGAAGGACGAGGACGACGGACGAACTTCTTCAAGACGGACAAAACTGTGACGATAGGACGACTGGAGATGACATCGGAAACTGGGAGCGAAGGCCACGCAGGACGAATCCAGAAGTTGAGATTTACAAATTTCCATTACCGCTGCCACCAATGTTGTAACTGCCTTTCTCTCCCTGCTCCCAGTCCCGTGCCATCTCCACACTTGTACAAAGGGACGACGATAACTACATTTAGAAGACTGTTTGACACGACGACGAAACACAACTAGACATGACGAACTCAAGACGAAGACATCATGAACTCAAGACGAAGACTGCTTTTCATACCACAGCAACACGCGCATGCACCAACATGACGTACACACGACGTACACAAAATAACGTACTACAACACTATTTTTGAAAGTGCAGCAGCCTCGATCAAGTTTTGGAACCTTTTTTTATGACTCATCTGCTGTACCCAGCCTCAGATAGTCCAGGATTCGCTTGATCCTAGCGAGCTGGAAAACTGGCATAGCTTTATCAATTATACACTACAGCTGGAGGCATTTATTCTCTCAGAGCGTTAGACATGCTACAGTCATTATCATATTTACTGTACCACTTGTTTGCCCCAGTACTCCCGTGCAGTAATAAAACGCAATGGTTTTAATTTTAGCTCTACAATACATTCCGAAACCTTTCTCGGAAGGGTCCCCGGGAATTACGTCCGATGTCAGACCATGCTATCCCAAAATACCTCCCGACTCCCTGTTTCTGTATTGTTTATTTTTTCGTCCAGGCCTTTCAAGTCCAGCAGGACCAAGCAGCAAACAACACTATCCTGTCAAGAGTGGCCGCTTTAGAACAGAAAGCGAGCAACATGGTCAAACAGGCTCAAGATGCATCTATGCTGCTTGACCAGCTGAAAGACAATAGTATGCAAGATTCGTAGTGGCCAGTCAAGCAATATAATGGCTAGCTCACACTTCATAGCAGCTATAGTACATACTTCATAGTGGCTAGTGCATGCTTCATTGCAGTCAGTTCACACTCATTTGGAGCATCATAATTATGCATGTAGCGCCATATGCATGAAGCAACAATCCTACTAAATGCAGCCATCATATTTAGCGGTCATAAATCCCAATGTAAATCAACAGGTCAATACAACTGAGCGTGTATTGCTCTACTGACTGTATATTCACTGCCGCGCAAATTCCTAGGAAGTGCACCAAGATCACGGAGCAATACTTAGTGTTTGCTTCATGGTACATATGTGTTCTCTCCTTTTGTACAGTGCAAATTGTGGAGAAGAGACAAGAGCAGTTGATGTTAGTCAATGAGCAAGAGAGAACTCGCCTTGGCAAAGCGCAACAGGACTTGGCCAACGCTACTCAAGACATGGCAGCCTTGCGTTCCGAGTTCGCGGTGGCTTCCAGTGACACTGCAGCGTCAGCTCTTGAAATGGGAAAGCTAACCGGACAATATCAAAAGGTGAGTGCTTGAACTCAATCGGGATATGTGGTGCCTGTCCGGTTGACATGAAGTACTGTGAAGAAGGCAGTCATTCAGAACTTTACAGGCATTTCGAAATATGCCCCGTGCATCTAACCCTTGGTTCCCCATGTTTCCATCTTCCTAGGAAATGGCCTTGAGGAAGCAACTTGTGGAGCAACTAGAACAGAGTCAACTGGAAAGCAAGGTAAGGTTAGGCATTCTGAATCTGCCACCGCCGCCGCAAGATATGACTGTGTTGAAACTCCATCGTGAATTAACATGCTGGGAATTGTGCCCTAGTGTCGAACATTTCTGCATCTATCCTTCACAGTCAGGGCAAGGCAGATTTCCTTTGGGCCGGGATACCACAGTACAAATCATGCTTCATGTTTCTGCAGCGGTTGATTGGATTGCTGTCTGAAAGTCACACGCTGGTCGAGCGACATCAAGAAAAGGCCGATAAGGAGCGGAGTTCATCGGAGGAGGCGCTTGACAAGCTACACACATCCAATGCCTCTATCGCAGAGTTAGAACATCTTCAAGCAGTGGCTCAAGAACATGAACAAGAACTAAAGGACAAGGTGAGCAGGGACTACCGTAAAAGTCCGTAAATAAGTACCTGCCCGAAAGAAATACCCCCTTCATTCTTTTGGCTCTGTCTGTAGAAGTCAAGTCAAGCCCGATAAACATACTGCCCGAAATAAGTACCGGTACGATGCGCACATGCTGCATGTAGCATGTACATCGACATGAAAATGACTTCTCCACTACACACAAGTCAGGTCCGAAAGTTAGTTCGTGCCCGAAAGTCAGTACCCGCCCGAAACTTAGTACGGGTGTGGTCACTAAATTCGAAAGTAAATACGTACTTATTTACGGACTTTTACGGTATGCCACTTACTTTCATTGTCGCTCAACTACTGGGAAGAGTCTATTGAATTTGAACCACACGTGGAAAAAGGTAAGGTAAGGCTAGGCATTCTGAATCCGCCGCCGCCGACACCACTGCCGCAATATATGACTGTGCTGAAACTCCATTGTGAATTAACATGCAGGGAATGGTGCCCTAGTGTCGAACATTTCTGCATCTATCCTTCACAGTCAGGGCAAGGCAGATTTCCTTTGGGCAGGAATACCACAGTACAAATACGTGAAAAAAGTGACGTAATGGACAATGGCACAATGATGTGACCGTGAGTGTATATCTTCGGTGCCCATCGTATTAGGCCTGTACGGTCTTAGGCTCTTAGCACTGCCTGATTTAATCATAGTAATGTGACTAAATGGAAATGAAAATCTGGACAGACAACTTAGCTGAGCATATAATGTGGTGTGCCCGATTATTGCGGTTTATTGACAGATTCTTGACCTGGAGTCAGCAAAGTTGGAACTGCAGTCGAGACTGGATTCAGAACACAATAGATGTGATGACTTGCAACAAACATGCAGCAACCTGGAGTCATCATGTCGAATGGCCAAGGAAATGGAAAAGAGGCTCATGGATCAGATAAAGGCACTAGAAGAGCATACAGAGACTTTGAAAGAGGAGTGTGCCAGGCATGTGACAGCCAGTGACCAATCAAAGCTGCTGCAGCTCTCTGATGAATCACCTACACATAGATTGGTTCATACGGACCAGAGTGCATCTACTAATGTGGATAGCACAGATCACAACATGGCAACAACAGCAATTCCCAGCAAGCCATCACATCAGCCGTCGAATACTACAGACATAGTAGAAAGCGTCTTGGAAATGCCAGGAAATGCCACAAACACAAGTGTGCTATGTGGAAGCAATGATGCAGCTCAAGAAGTTCAGGCAGAGGAGTTGCCTATGGATACCGGTTTGATAGCCACCAGCCTGAAAATGGCCAACGAAGAGTTAGACATGGCAAATCTTCAGCACACAGCACCGTCAGAATCCGGCTGCACGCTTCGCTCAGGATTCAATGACGCGCATGCAGAAGCCGCTGTGAGTATGCACATGCTAGGTGCTAATGCCACCTTGGGTTCATCAAACTGCTTGGTAGCCTGGGCTTTCTAAGCGTATGCTCCAGTTATCATTGTCAACGAGAGTTTTAAAAATATGCACTGCTGGACATTCAGCTCCGACTGCATAGATACTTAGCTTTCAAATGCAATTGCTAGGTAGTTTAAAACTAGGTTGCCATGGTAGATCTGAGGACATTTCTGTAGGAGCTGTGCTGCGCAACGCTTTGGCATGGGAACTATTCAGTGACAGTAGAGGTTGGGTAGCATACGTAACATTTCACAAACACAGTACCGCAGTCGTTTCACTGCACTCAGTGGATGTAAGTTAATTTTAAAAGTGCACAGTGTGATGTTTTTAAAACACTACTCTGCACAAGACACTAATCTGTGGCTGTGTGTGATGTCATGTTTATGTCCCAAGGCAAACTCTTCACCAGTGCAGCAGCTCATCACACGAGAGATATTCATGGCATCACCGAGCCTGTCGGAATCATCTCAGGAAGTGGAAGGTCCTCGAATATGCAAACCAAAGCAATGTGGATCCGTTCAATCTCCTCTACAAACTTGCACACGGCAGCAGCAGCGGGAAGCTGTGGGTGCACCACTAGATGCATTGGCACAGCGAGCTCCTTGTCAGGTTGGTTCGCAGCAGGAGCAGCAGCAGCAGCAGCAAAAGAAACAGGAGCAGCACCACCAGCAGCAGGAAGAAGAGCAGCAGGTGCCAATTACCTGTACGAAGCATGACGATGCCGCTCAACACATTCCCTCAAAAGCCACAGTAGAAATGACAGCAAGCTCCATGATGATGTTAGGCTCCAAAGAATCATTGTCAAATGTGGACATGTCAGCCAACACAGGATTAGGAGAAAAGCAGCACAGGGACAAGAGCCACAGCTACACAGCCACTGAGTCGAGCAATGCTAGCGAAACAGTAGCTGATGGCCGCAGTACAAGGACAGAGTCCACTGGGAATCCCAAGGCTGACATTGATCATACTAGATGCGCAGGCAACGCCGTTGAAGATGACAATCCAGACAAACAACTGCTGAGTACAGTAGATAATCAGGCAGATCCGATCAAGCCTGCCCAAAAACGACTCTGCATTGGGGTGGCTCACATTGGGTCGAAAGAGTGGGGGAAGGGCACTAGTTGTAGTGCAGCTGCAGAAGAGGATAGGCGTCAACCAGGCTTTACCAGAGATAAGCTACTCAACGAAGCTGTCTCTGCCCCAGTTCTACTAGCACCTCAACCAATTGGATCGATTTCCCCAGCACCCTCGCAGTCTGCTCCTATTCCACCCACACCTCCAACATCACCTTCACCAGAGAATGTTACTGAACTGTGTGGTCAGACCCATCTCGCCTCAATCAGTGACGCAACACCACAGCCAGCAGCAGTGGATGGAACTAGTAGCCTGCTGGCTAGTTTTTCAGATGACAGTCAGGATGAGCAGGTGGACAATGCCAGTGTGTCACACTGTCTTAAGCTGCTCATGAGCAGGGCTCCTGCAAAGCGTTTGCTGAAGCGCAAACACAACACTGCTGCAGAACACGAACCCTGATCATCTGATGCAGAGAAGTGGTTCCCCTAGTACCCCCATCTCACTATGCAATCAAACGTCAGTGCCATCAGTGTGACCTGTACACACATGGAATCTCAAAATTCAGTGACATTTCATTTCAATGGTCAGCTGAGAAGCTGCGTGTTTTTCAGTTCTTGTTCATCTGCAATCCTATCATAGATAGCTTGTTATACATTCAGCACCATAAGTGATATATTCTCTTTCAAGCCAACAGTGTGATCTGTCAGTCAATTGGCTCTATGGTGATCATTTTGCAGCAAAGTCGCAGTAGTGATGGCAATTATTTGCCTGGAGAAGGCAGAACAAGAATTGCCTTTGCTTGTGGTTAAAAGTAAAATAAAACAACAACAACAACAACAACAACAACAACAACAACAACATTATCTCTGATTGGCCACTCAGGGCTATTGTGAGAATAAAGATTTGAAACAACAACAACAACAACAACAACAACAACAACAACAACAACAACAACAACATTATCTCTGATTGGCCACTCAGGGCTATTGTGAGAATAAAGATTTGAAACAACAACAACAACAACAACAACAACAACAACATTATCTCTGATTGGCCACTCAGGGCTATTGTGAGAATAAAGATTTGAAACAACAACAACAACAACAACAACAACAACAACAACATTATCTCTTATTGGCCACTGGCTATCGTGAGAATAACGATTTGAAACAACAACAACAACAACACTATGCTTATCGCCCGGTGCATGCTAAGTCGGTTACCACAGTACTTTGCCATGTGCGTAAGCGGGATACATGTATGTACTGCATCGTTGCGCTGTCCACCTAGCAGATATACCTGGTGGTTGCAGCCGGAGAAGTGCCGATAGTTAATCTCACCGCATTCAAGTTTCACTTTATTCCAAACACGTGTTACTAGTTTTACCCTTGGACAGCAGAGGGATACAGGATACGGGGTACGAGAGAAAGGTACGGGTTCCGGATACAGGGATACTGTGGAGCGAAAAGTGAGTTCACCATAGGGAGTTGAGAATTTTGGACTTAGAAAAAAACGAGAGTTCGCCTTAGGGAGTTGGGATTTCTGGGACTTTGCTGAAAAATGGTCAGTTCACCATCTTTCTTTCCATCGCTTTTTCTTCTTACATATATTTTTTCCTTACCCTTTAGATTGGTTTTTGCATCATCTCCATCGCTTACATTGTGTAATAAAGTAATCCAAATGTCACTTCAGCTCATCCTACTTATTGCCATATCACCATAGGGAGTTAGAATTTCTGGGACTTTGCTGAAAAATGGTCATATCAGTTCACCATAGGGAGTTGGGTTTTCTGGGACTGCTGAAAAATGGTCATAGGCAGGTTATGGGCAAAGGAAGTTGGCAATAACAGCGCTTCCGTAGTACCGTGTATTTTACCTGACCTCACCATCGGATGATATTCGAGGTCGAATCCTCCCCGACTCGCCTGAAAATGCTGACATCTCATGAACTGTGATGGTCCGCCCGTGGTGTTCCGGGGACGAAAGGGAAGAAGAGGGGCTGCCTCGTTGCTTGAAGCAAGAGACAAATCGGAGAACAAAGGCTTAATCTCAGAAGATCGTAGCAACAAGACTACTCTGCTTCTTACAATACCCCGTTCTTATTAAATTTTAAGTCGTCTGCAAAGGATTTTGCTCCGGCAATGTTTCTAGTTTGATTGGTGGGTAAGCTTGGAGCACATTCAGCTCCTTGCCGAGTCCACCGAGTTGTGACGCAGGAAGCCCTTGCGGACCTCTACTCTTGTTCGCCAAAAACTGCCAGGGAAGACATCGTTGCGCTCTAGCATGGATTCTGACTTAGAGGCATTCAGTCATAATCCTACGGATGGTAGCTTCGCACCATTGCCTTTTTAAGCAAGTGCAAATGCCAAATGTCCGAATCAACGGTTCCTCTCGTACTGAGTTGAATTACTATTGCAACAATACTTTCATCAGTAGGGTAAAACTAACCTGTCTCACGACGGTCTAAACCCAGCTCACGTTCCCTATTGGCGGGTGAACAATCCGACACTTGGTGAATTATGCTTCACAATGATAGGAAGAGCCGACATCGAAGGATCAAAAAGCAACGTCGCTATGAACGCTTGGCTGCCACAAGCCAGTTATCATGGTTATCCCTATGGTAATTTTTCTGACACCTCTTTTAAAAGACTAAAGGATCGATAGGCCATGCTTTCACAGTTTATACTGAAAATCAAAATCAAGTGAGCATTTACCCTTTTGTTCTACATGAGATTTCTGTTCTCATTGAGCTCACCTTAGGACACCTACTGGCGTTATCGTTTGACAGATGTGCCGCCCCAGCCAAACTCCCCACCTGACTGTGTCTTCGACTCGGATCGGCCCGCGAATGGGACCTTTGGTCTAGAAGGTGGGCCGTGAAGCCCAGCTCCGCCTCATCGAATAAGTAAAAAAACGATGAAAGTAGTGGTATTTCACCGGTGGCCGAAACCTCCCACTTATCCTACACGGCTCTCATGTCTTCTCACAAAGTCAGCGGATGAGCAATGCCTTCAAGTTTGGTGAGCGTGAAAATGACTCCGTTTGCAGCAGAGAAACCATGTGTGAGTGTTTGGATTACTTTAGGGAAAGAAAGGTTAGACTGTGACCTGGCACACAGCCAAGTCACCCAGGCAGACTCTTCTACGAAAGAGTAGTACGAAATCGTCCCACCATCATTATGTCTTGTATTTCAGGCGGAAACGGAAGCAGAATCTGCATGCTAAAAATAATGTTGAGCATCATCCGCCAAGGGTTGTGCAAGAGAACCGGCAGACAAGCATGTATATGTGTGGATCTACTGAGTACACACAAATGTAGATTCCAGAAAGAACATGACACTCCGGGGGCACATTGTACCTCCTCCTGATCGTTATTTTCCTTTCTTGAACCCAGTTTAGGGAAAGAAAGGTTAGACTGTGACCTGGCACACAGCCAAGTCACCCAGGCAGACTCTTCTACGAAAGAGTAGTACGAAATCGTCCCACCATCATTATGTCTTGTATTTCAGGCGGAAACGGAAGCAGAATCTGCATGCTAAAATGTTGAGCATCATCCGCCAAGGGTTGTGCAAGAGAACCGGCAGACAAGCATGTATATGTGTGGATCTACTGAGTACACACAAATGTAGATTCCAGAAAGAACATGACACTCCGGGGGCACATTGTACCTCCTCCTGATCGTTATTTTCCTTTCTTGAACCCACCGCTCCAACTGCCTCACAGAGTGTCTCTGACGGTCATACTCATAGTCTTATACAGTGGTGGTCATGGAATTAGGCCGGCTGCCAAATTTGGTTGAATATGAAGAACTAATGGCTGAAAAGGCTATCTAAAAGACTAAAACTAATAATATGAAGAGTCTCTTGCAATTTATCGGTGTTTTGTCACAACACAGGGCATACTTCTGTCACAAGGTCAACTTATTGGGCTATCGTGGCGGTCTAATGCCGTGACCGAAAACGGCAAATATAGAAAAACCTACCTAAAGTACTCGAAAGCGAAACTAGATTGTTCTAAATCTGTCTAAAACGTCGTCAAAGACGAACCCTAGCTTACACTACCAATCTACGGCATAACCTTTGTTCTTTATCACCGCCTTCATCCTCTTCGGCATCGTCGTGACGATCCGGCGACACAGGTCGGCATCAATGCGACTCCAGGCCGCCTTGCATTCTTCCCACAGCTCAGCTTCGTTTTTGCACCTCCTGCTGTTGTCCCGGTGCCGGGACAAGATTTCCCAAAGGTTTTCGATGGAGTTGAGGTCAGGGCTTTGTGCGGGCCACTCCATTACTTCGAACGGCTGCTCATCGAGCCATCGCTTGGTTGCTCGTGCGGAGTGTTTCGGGTCGTTGTCTTGCTGGAACACAGCAGTTTGGCCACCAAACAAGTCCGTCATGCTGGGTACCATGCAGTTTTGCAGGATCCCGATGTACTGCTGGTGTTCCATCCGCCCGTCAACGCGATAGAGCCGGCCAACACCGCCCGCACTCATACACCCCCATATCATTATCCCACCGCCACCGTGCTTTACTGTGCCGCGGGTGCAGAGTGGGTTCAGGCGCTCTCCTCGTCGTCTGCGGACGTACTGAACACCATCCGAGCCCACCATGTTAAACTTGGACTCGTCACTCCATAAAACATTCGCCCACTGGTCAGGTGTCCAATCCTTGTGCTGCTTGGCGAACTGCAATCGCCTTTTTCTATTTTTCTCGCTGATAAAGGGCTTCTTTGCTGCTATTTTGCCATGCAAACCAAATTGTTGCAGACGTCTGCGCACCGTGCGCGCTGACACAGGTGCCACGCCATCTCCAGCGACTTCTTTCAGCAGTTTCGGTGCTGTTTTAAATCTATCAGCCATTGACAGCACCTTCAAGTGACGATCAAATCGATCCTCAGTCTTTTTTGGGGGGCCAGGGCGTTTGGTTCGAGCAACAGAGCCCTTGCTTTTCGCCTCCTGAACGATCCTCCGGGCAGTTCGCGCCGAGACACCCAGCACAGCAGCGATTTTTGAGGATGATGATCCATCCCTACTCATTGCCACAATGGCCTCTCTCTTCCCAACACTAATGTCTGCCTTTCGTCCCATGGCGAGTGAAATTGAAACAATTTCCACGTGCAGTTCTGGCTGCGACTTGTCAAATAGATTTTTGAAGTTTCCCGGTGCCATTTTGGTCGTCCATGGTAACCGTGCAGTGCACACGTGACGGGTAGCAATCATGGTTCAACTGGGCTGTCACGTGGCCACAGCATTAGGCCATGTGTACCGTACTGAATGTGTACGCACATACTTAGTGCATGCACTTAGGAAATTTTTTTTGTTGTCAAATCGCGTTGTTTTAGAGATCATGTCTTTAGGAATAGATTTTGTGCAGAAATTTCGGCTGGATGTAGGTATTCTTGAGGTTTGGCCTGCATGGCCTAATCCCATGGCCACCACTGTAGATACCGCTGTCCGACGCCTAGTCTATAACTCTGGAGCAACCATGCAGTGCTGACTGACAGTTTCGCGGGAAGGCGAGGAGGAAGTACAGGCGACTGGGCCTTTCCGCTTCTGTGGGAGGGTAGGGACAAGATAGTGTCCGATCGACTTCTGGCGGGTTAGTACAATTTTACTAGTGGCACAGGGTCATGGCAGACGTGTAACACTACCCGGAGCCTACAGCCTACAAGTAACACGTTAGTTACTTGTAAATGTATGTACTAGTGGCAATGGCGTTGCACCGATAGTGCCACAAAGCTCCAAGTCATAAAAATTAATACTGATCAGCGATCATTACCACTGCAGTGCCTTATGTCCATCTATGTCTACAATCATGAAGGCGACTGATGGAGTTCAGTTGTGGGTCGCTACACTGTAACAAGAGTCCACAACGCCTGGGGTTGTGGACTCCTGATTGCAAGTATTTGTACACTGATATGACTGTAGAAGCATTCCTCGAGGCGTCATGTACAACACGCAGGTAAGTACATTCCTCAGTAAAATCGCATACTGGCTTGAGAGTTGCAATGACGATCCCAGCCTGCTGCATTTACATGATTTATCCGCACTACAAGCACTAGAGAATTATTTGGTTTGGTTTTATGATCCAAGGTGGCATGGGGCGGTACGTTGAATTCTATTACAAATGTAGGGGCCATTTTGGCTGCATTGTGGTGTGTGTATTGGCATGATGGTCACTGATGGAGAGGACAATTGAACATACAATGTACATGTACTGAAGTACAAAATTAATTGTAGTGTTCCTCAGTATATCCCTGGAGCCCAGTTCTAGGCTCTAGTAATTTCCTTTGCTTTATTTATTTTTGTTTCCGTGAATACGATTTTGGAACAAAAGGCTTATGAATGTCAAGAGGGTACGAGCCTCTTGACGTACGGATGGGATACATGTAACATGTATCCCATTCGTACGTCATTGTATGACTATGAGGGTATTCGGGATGAAGTGGAGATGCTCCTCAACTAACTTCAAGTCTCCATCACGCACCACTTCATCAGCTCATGGCACTTCTTGCTACGACTCGTCGAGTACTAGTGACTGGTGCGATTGTATTTGTGGAATGGGTGATTGTGGAAGTCAACGCTTGGGCAGAATGGATTGCAATCAGTTAGTTGTATTATCTACATGACATGATCAATAATAGGCACAATGACTATGTTACATAGTACGTGTACATGTATGTACAGTCA